GCCCACTATGACAACACAGGAGATTCGGGCAGCGCAAAGAGAAGATCCGGACATTGGTCCAGTCCTGCACTTCAAGTCCCGCAACCGGAAACCAAGCCGCACTGAGAGGGTGGAAGTGGGTGCAAGTGGGGGCCTTCTCTTAAAAGAGTGGAGGAGATTAGTGGTGAAGAATGGTGTCATTTACCGGCGGGTCCGTGACTGCCATAGAGGAGGGTTGGAGCAGCTAATACTGCCACAGAGGCTGCGTGTAGCTGTTAAAACTGCTCTTCATGATGATTCCGGACATTTAGGATTTGAGAGAACATTGCAGATGATACGTGAGAGATTTTATTGGCCAAGAATGTTTCAAGAGATTAAAGCCTGGTGTGAGCAGTGTGAGCGATGTTGCCTGAGAAAGACTCCCACAGCTAACGTCAGAGCTCCCCTAGTCAGTATACACACCAGTGCCCCCATGGAGTTAGTCTGCATGGACTATTTGACGCTTGAGAAGTCCAAAGGTGGCATTGAAAATGTGCTCGTTGTCACTGACCACTTCTCCCGTTACGCGCAGGCCTACCCCACCAGGGACCAAAAGGCGGGCACAGTGGCAAGAGTATTGTGGAGGAACTACTTCAGTCGTTTCGGCTTCCCTGCAAAGCTGCATTCGGATAGGGGGCGCAACTTCGAAAGTGCTATTGTGAAAGAGCTGTGCAAGTGTACCGGCATTACTAAAACACACACATCGCCCTACCATCCTCAGGGGAATGGGACCACCGAGAGGTTCAACCGTACCCTGATGAATATGCTGGGGACACTAAAGCCGCACTTGAAGCCTCGGTGGCACGAACACTTGGATGCCATGACACATGCATATAACTGCTCACAACACGACTCCACCGGGTATAGCCCGTACTACCTGATGTTTGGTAGGTACCCACGGCTGACCTGATTTTCGGGTCCCCCACCGTTAATCAGCCCTGTGGATATCACGAGTATGTCCAGACTCTGCATGATTCTTTGACGGAGGCTTATACCCTGGCTAACCAGACATCTCAGCATGCTAAAGAGCAGCAGAAAAAGTACTATGATCTGAAAGCCAGAAGTGAAGACTTTGCTGCTGGGGACCGAGTCTTAGTCAAAGTTTGCCATGTGGAAGGGAGACAGAAACTGGGAGACCGTTGGGAGTCACGCCCATATGTCATTGTCAAGAAGCAGCCCAACGTACCTGTTTATGTGGTGAGACCGGAGAATGGAGGACCGGAGAGGGTGCTGCACAGAAACCTCCTTACCCAGTGCATGTTCCTGCCTGTGGATCAAAGTAACCTAGTCTTGGAGGAGAGCCAGCTGGATAATGAACCGTGTGAGACTGGTGTTGATCTGGGTGAAGATGACAGTATGGAGGAAGTGGAAGATGGAGCTTTGACTGGAGCAGTTGGGGGAGAAGAGCACCCCAGCACCGAACTGACCGACACAGAGACACAAGGGGATATGCTGGTCACCAGTGGTGGTGCCTCTTCCTCTCGAGGCGTTGGCACTCCAAGGAGAATGCCGAGAAGGAGTCGACATCCTCCCCTGAAACTGTCTTTAGAGTGCCGGGCCATGGAAGTGGAAAGTGACCAGCAGAAGATAGAGAGAGGAAGAAAGTTGTGGCAAAGGGCCAAAGCAAGAAGAGCAGCTGGACACATTTAGGGCCACGTAGTGCACACACCTAGATGAGTCAGCTCCCCCACACACACATTTTCTACACACTTTATACTACACACACACACACTTATCACATATTTGTTTATTTTTGAAGTTCTTTGAGTTACCTCATGAGCCTCTTTTGAATGAGTCTGATGGCGGGGACGCCATCTCTTAAAGAAGGGGTGGGTGTAAGGTAGATACTGAGTCGCGCCACTAGGTGTCGCTATAACACCACATTAAAACAAGAGTTTACTATTGAGAATTGCCTTTTGTCCCTCTGACACACCGTAGGGGTTGATATCGCGGGTGTAATGAGCATTTCCTTTAGATTTCTGATATCAACCTTGTAGACCCCTGTGTTGTGAATAAACCAACGGTATTGCCACGATCCCGAACCCATCTCAATCAATCAATCAATCAATCAATCAATCAAACTTTATTTATATAGCACCTTTCATGCTTTTAAGCTGCAACACAAAGTGCTTTACAAAGAGGTAAAAACAAACAACGTTAAAAAAAGAAAAAAACAAAACAAACAACAGTAAATATAGGGCACTTAAATAGGCATAAAACCCGTCCCTTCCCACCCACAGCAGCATATACAGGCATGCACAGCAGCCCACCCCACACACACATACACGCACACACGTATCCACACACCCACACAGTAACTGTCAGTAAAAACATGGCAAGGCACTGATGATTCTGGTAAGGAAAGACCACCTATGGGAGCCGTCCACACCGAGAGGAGCCACAGCCCACCCCCACAGGGAGCACCGCCCCCGAGACCCCCCGACCCAGACAGCCCGGGTGCACCCTGCACATAGTGCAGAGCCCCCTAACCGTCTGGGCCTGGACGATCCCAAGGACCGCGCCCCCCGGGGCGGACCAGACATACCTCCCAGTGTGGAGGGCCCCCACGAGGAAACTCTGGAGCTAAAAAGACTAGGGCATAGAAGGAATTAAAATAATATTAAAATATCTAAATGACGTAAAAATGTGATAAAAGTAAAGGATAAAATAAACTAAAACCAAATTAGAATAATGTTAGAATATCTAAGTGACATAAAAATGTGATAAAAGTAAAGGATAAAATAAACTAAAACAGTTAAATCAGCTAAAAGCCAAACTAAAAAGGTGGGTCTTGAGCCTCCTTTTAAAAACATCAACAGTCTCTGCGGTCCTGATGTTCTCTGGCAGGCTGTTCCATAACTTTGGGCCATAATGGCTGAAGGCAGCCTCTCCGTGAGTTTTGGTTTTTGTATGAGGAACAACTAAAAGGCCGGCGCCAGAGGACCTCAGGGTACGCGAGGGTTGATAAGATAAAAGCAGTTCAGATAAATAAGATGGGCCAAGACCATTAAGACACTTAAAAACTACTAAAAGATCTGTGTCCGTGTGCATCTCCTTACCGGCTGCCGCTGCACCCCCCGCCAGAGGTCCATTTCACACTTAAGCAGACACAACGCCGAGTAGCCTAGCTGTGGAGGTGTTGGAGAGCCGGCAGGCGCGCGCGAGAGACAGAGAGAGGGCTACATCTATATAAATCTAAATGTATGTGCCGACTCAGATTATTAGTTGTTGATGATTATTTATTGCACTGAAATGTGCCTGACACTGTGGAAACCTGCCGGTGAGGCATCAGTGACATATGCCAATACGCTGCCAGCCTAACAAAATACTACTAGACCAGCTACGCTCCGCCTGCGCTGAAAGCTGACCTGGTTTGAATTAGCGAGCTTTTCAGCGCACTTTACACGCCACCGGTGAGCACAAAAATGTCAATGTGGCAGCTAATTCTGTCAACACCTCCCTCTACCACGCCACCATGCCCAGCTTGGCGGACCTCGGTGCGCCTCAGTCCACGAAAATACCAAACTGGCTGTATGTCGGCTCCACCAGACGATAATACCACTGCACGGGGTCCGCCGCCTCACTGGCGGACATGAAAATAGAGCCCTATGTGTGTATTTTTTTGCCAGGACTACTTCCCCTTGTTTACCTTCCCCTTGTAAGAAAAAAGTTACAAAAAGGTACAAAAAAACAAAAATAGTTTTTTTTGTTTAAAGAAAAAAAAAACTTCCTTGTGACTGTTACCTTATTGTGGTAAGGGAGCTTGCATACTTCTGTGAACCCCAAGAGCTGTGCCATTAGGACATGACAACTACTGGCAGGTTTTACCAAATTGGACAGGTCGACAGCGAGGAGTTGCAATAAACATAGTCAAGCATTTTCTTGTAAAGTGACTTATGGAGAATGTTTTTATGTTTGTATCAGCAACTTTGCATGATATTACTGTGCTAATGAGATGGCTGCTATTTTAAAGTTGGCCGCCATCTGGAAATTTCAAGCAGCTTGGGTTATTTTCTTATTGACTCATGAAGACTCCTCATACCAATTTTCATGCTCATGAAGACTCCTCATACCAATTTTCATGCCTATACCATCATCTAATTGTTCCAGAATACTGAGCTTAAAAAATGATCTCAAACTTCCAGTTAATAACAAGAGGAGAAGAATCTGTGATCTGGTGTTTTAGGTTTTAGTGAAAACAGTCAAAGTAAAAGTGAAAGTAAGTGAGCTCAAAAACAGACTGTATTATGAGATAAGAACAGAGCAAAGAGAGGAGAGGATGAGGAAACAGGGTGAGTGTTTACTCTGGGTTTTTGTTTTAATGTCAAACTCTTTATCTGTATCATCCGTTAATGAAAAATGATTTACTGACTAATACACTTAAAAACTGCAAAGCAAAGAAACCTGACCAGACAAAGAGCTGGATCAATTCTTTATACGGGAAACTGTATATGTGCAGTTCTCCCTCTTTTTTAGACTTGTCCTTTTAGTAAAAACTACAATGAGTATTTTATTATTTAGCCTGTCACTTCAAATTTGATAATTTAATCCAGACCCCTTAATTTTTTTCGTTATGAGAGTTCAGGGACCTCAGAGCTGTTTTTTTTTATATACTGTGAATCAGATAAGGATCAGAGAGAGGCCCTGCAGGGTGAGGAAACATCCCATGTGTTTGGATACAGATTAGACCCTGTATAACTCTTAACGAGAGATATTAAGCTTTTTCAAGACTCTATACTAACTTTCTGTTCCCTCTTCAATATTTTTACATGATTTTCAGTTAAGAAAAAAAACAAAAAACTCTGGTGTATTCAAAAGATCATTAATTTCTGCCTCCTCCTAGCTACTGTCCCTTAAAGGCCCCCCACTCCCAGCCTACTTTTATATCTGAACAATCTCCTGTTTGTATCTCACCTGTTTGTCCATTTTGTCCTCAGGTTGTATGACTCAGTTTCATCTTCCATAAATTTGCTCAACATCAGATGGAGAAGATGAGTGATTGTGTCGAGGAAGGGGAGGGCAGAGGAAAGTCTGTCATGTTTGACTGTCTGTCTATGAAGAGCGACTGGTCTAAAAATTTTCCACCGAACTTGAGTAAAGAACCAGGACCCTCAGATGCAGAGTAAGAGAAACACTTTTTAACCTTCAAACTCTCAAACAGTCATTTATGATGCTCTAAATTCTGACCCCTCTGTTTTCGACCATGGAGCGAAAAATGATCTCTGCTCTCAAAACGGTGATTTTCCTGTTTAACATGCCAACCTGGAGAAAGTAAAGGAAAAGTCACTGAGCACATATTCATTTATTATTCATAATGTTTATAAAAATGAAGGATGTATAAAACAGCATTTAAAAATGATTCTGACCTCAGTATTTTCTGATTTGGTTCCTGTGTTTGGAATGTTTTGAGCCTGTAAGTCTTTGGACTGTGGTGTGTAGACCCCATAAAAACAGTCTGTGGGTCACAAAATACCAGAAGACCAATGAAGAAATAAATCCTGAGAAATAAAATCTAATTCAGAGCATCTGTCTGTTATTCGACCTTTAGATCTTATTGGTCAAATAAATGTTTTAAACTGTCAGAGAAAATCTCTCTACCTTCAATAATCCCAGTTTAGTTTTTCTCCTGTCACCACACTTTCATGCAGCAGCAGCTGAATATTTTACAGGAGATTGTTTTATGTTAGAGGAAAGAGAGAGGTCAGAAACTCTGGTTTAATAAATGCTTCTTATTCTGCTCTTTCAAACATGAAATGATAATGATAAAGAAAATAAATGTTCTTTATTTCCACAGAGAGACAGAAAGATTTGACTCTGTGGAGGAGCAGCTGTCCAGATATCTCAACTCTAAAAGAAGTAAGTCTGAACATCTGTTCTCTAAAGTCTCTGTCGATGAAAACACAGCTGACTGATTGATCACAAAGATGTTTTTGTGTTGAGCAGTTTGGTTCATTTTATTTTTCTTCTCTTTTAGCAGATCGCGGTCTGCAGGAGGTTTTAGATGAACATAAGATCAGTCTGAAGAGGAGATGTGAACGTGTGAATGAAGGAAGTGATGAAGCAGGAAGTCAAACCCTTCTCAACATGATCTTCACTGACCTCTACATCACAGAGGGACTAAGTGAAGAGGTGAACACCCAACATGAGGTGAGACAGCTGGAGACAGTTTCAAAGATGAAGATCTTCCATGACACGCCCATCAAGTGCCATGAAATCTTTAGAGTCTTACCAGGTCAACAGGAAGTCGTCAGAGTGGTTCTGACCAACGGCGTGGCTGGTGTTGGAAAAACCTTCTCAGTGCAGAAGTTCACTCTGGACTGGGCAGAGGGTTTGGAGAACCAAGACCTCAATCTGGTGGTCCTGCTTTCATTCAGGGAACTCAACCTGATCAAAGATGAGTCCTGCAGTCTTCTGAGTTTGCTCCATGTTTTCCATCCAACACTAGAGAAGGTCACAGCAGAGACGCTGGCTGTCTGTAAACTTCTGTTCATCTTTGACGGTCTGGATGAAAGCAGACTGTCTCTGGATTTCACAGACTCTGAGGTTGTTTCTGATGTCACACAGAAGTCATCAATAAATGTTCTGTTAACAAACCTCATCAAGGGAAATCTGCTCCCCTCAGCTCTCATCTGGATAACTTCTCGACCTGCAGCAGCCAATCAGATCCCTCCTTCATGTGTGGACAGGGTAACAGAAGTACGAGGCTTCACTGACGCCCAGAAGGACGAGTACTTCAGGAAGAGGTTCAGAGATGAAGATCTGTCCAGAAGAATCATCTCACACATCAAGTCCTCCAGGAGCCTCCAAATCATGTGTCAGATCCCAGTCTTCTGCTGGATCACTGCTACAGTTCTGGAGGACATGATGAGCAGAGAGCAGAGAGGAGAGCTGCCCAAGACCCTGACTGACATGTACTCACACTTCCTGCTGGTCCAGACTAAGAGGAAGAAGCAGAAGTATGAAGGGGGACATGAGACAAGTTCTCAGGAGCTGACTGAGGCTGACAGTGAAGTCCTCCTGAAGCTGGGGAGACTGGCCTTTGAACATCTGGAAAAAGGAAACATCATGTTCTACCAAGAAGACCTGGAGCGATGTGGTCTGGATGTCTCAGAGGCCTCGGTGTACTCAGGAGTTTGTACAGAGATCTTCAGAAGAGAGAGTGTGATCTTCCAGAAAACTGTTTACTGTTTCATTCATCTGAGCGTTCAGGAGTTTCTGGCTGCAGTCTACATGATCCACAGTTTCACAAACAGGAACACAGAAGCTCTGAAGATTTTCCAAAAAGGCAACAAACACAAAGACAAAATGTTTTTTTTAGAGACAGTTTCCATGTTTTTGCAAAAGGTAGAGCCACAAGACCTGGATAACATTTTCAAATCTCTGGATGACTTTCTGAAGAGTTGCATGATAAAATCTCTTCTCAGTAAAAATGGTCACCTGGACTTGTTAGTTCGCTTCCTTCATGGACTTTCTCTGGAGTCAAACCAGAGACTCTTAGGAGGTCTGCTGGGTCACACAGACAACAGTCCAGAAATGATCCAAAGAGTCATCGACAACCTGAAGGAGATGAACAGTTATTATATCTCTCCTGACAGAAGCATCAACATCTTCCACTGTCTGATGGAGATGAACGATCTATCAGTTCATCTGGAGATTCAAGAGTTCCTGAAGTCAGAGAACAGATCAGAGAAGGAACTCTCAGAGATCCACTGCTCTGCTCTGGCCTACATGCTGCAGATGTCAGAGGAGGTTCTGGATGAGTTGAACTTACATGAGTTTAGCACATCAGATCAGGGACGACTGAGACTGATCCCAGCTGTGAGAAACTGCAGAAAGGCAATGTAAGTCCAGGTTTTCTTCTCAGATTAGTGTAAATGAGCTCTGTAGCTCTTCCAATGTCCACGTTACTGATGATGTTCTTCTTCAAATAGAAATCTACTAAAATATTAGGGAGGAGTCATGAGAACGTACGCCCCCTAGAGTTCAAATAACCTCAACTTTAACTTTGATCACTGCTCTTCAGGTTTACTTTGTTTTTATTGTTTAACTATGACAGAGGTACAGTGGGTCTTTGTAGCTGTCTTTTAAAGGTGCTCTCTGGATTCATCAGGTTTTATAAACTTGTTTCTGCTAGTGAAGGGAATGTTACATGGGGAAAAAACCTTCATTGTGAAAACAAAGAAATCTTCAACTCTTCAAATGTTCAGAGTCAAAACAGCTCCAAATAACTATTTTATCTGAACCAATCATAGAAAAAGTAGCTGCTGTGATTTAGTGAGTCATCCTCTGTTTGGTCAACAGTCTAACCTACGAACCAACCACATACCAGTACCAAAAACATGGTTCTCAGTCCCCTTCTCCAACCAGAACTCAAGAATTCACACAATAAGAATGATACAGCTACACTAACATGACGACAACACTGTTAGAGAACAGAATGACTAAAATAAGTCATGGAGTCATTTGTCTTGAACATCTGAAGATATTAATAGCTGTCTGGTTAAAACCATAGATATTGTTTGAGTTTCTTTAGGTGAAGAGAATCATCAAATTGCCCTTCAATGAAACATTGTTTGATATTTATGTTGTTACAGACTTTCTAACTGTGGACTCTCAGAGACTCACTGTGAAGTTGTGGCCTCGGCTCTGAAGTCCAACCCCTCCCATCTGAGACATTTGGACCTGAGTCACAATCATCTGCAGGATTCAGGAGGGAAGCTTCTCTCTGCAGGACTGGAGAGTCCAAACTGCAGACTGGAGACTCTGAGGTCAGGCACCATTTCCTTTTGATCTAACAATAAAATGTGACAGTTGTTGCCTTAGATTTTTCTCTGTGTTTTTTTCCATCAACTTTGGTCGAGCAGTTTGACATTGTAGTTGTAAAACTTCAACACAAGAAGAAAAATCCAACATTTCAGAGTTGACTTGGAGTGGAACAATGGATGTAGAAAGGAAGCAGAACAAAATCAGTCCCACAAATATTACACATGCTTGTAGAGGGCAGGAGCAGCACAGACTAAAGGCTGATATTGAACTGATCCACAATTAATGTGATCACTAATGAATGAATGAAGTATCAGAGAAATGATGAGATGCAGATTTAAACCTGACTCTGGATATTTCATTTGGAAACTCTTGAAAACTTGAATTTCTTCTCTGCTCAGCCGTGTTCAAATAAAAAAAACAGATCCAGATTTTTCTGCAGTTTTCACTTTAGCTTAACATTAACATCATCTTGTCCAGTTGGTCCATAAAAACCTCTCAGATAAATAATCTGATGGTTTATTTACAGGTAGTTTGGCAGTTGTTGACAGCAGATGGACAGACCCCTAAATATACTCTTCACTATTTTAATCTTAATGGAGAATTCATGACTACAAAAAACTTTGAAATTTCTCACATGAGTTTCTCAGGATCTCACTAAAGTTTTCTGTATCTTAAATATTTCTCGACTGAAAAATTCCTTATGATCTTCAAAAAGTTTAGAGAGGATTTTACGAAGTTCTTTAAGATCAACTCTGAAAAGGTTCTTCTTCTATGTCCTTCAGGGGCTCAAGAACACTGAATCATTAAAAGCAGGAACAGTTTCTTCAGAGGTTCAATGATTTTTTTCTTCCTTTTTCAGACTGTGGGACTGCAGTTTGTCAGAGATCAGCTGGTCTTCTTTGGCCTCAGCTCTGAAGTCCAACCCCTCCCATCTGAGACATCTGTGGCTGAGTGAAAATGAGCTGCAGGATTCAGGAGTGAAGCTGCTGTGTGAATTTCTGCAGAGTCCAAACTGTAAACTGGAGACTCTGAGGTCAGAATTTTGTCCTCTTCTCAAACATTGGCATGATTTGTTTGTGATGATGACACTAAACTGCTGAATCAGGACTGAAATACTTGACCAAGACTGAACACCTAGTTGTAGATTTCCTGCATCGGTGGATTATTTGATTGACTCCAGTTATATCACTGCTAAACGCCAATGAATTAAAACCTGAACACAAGAAGAAAACTCTTTGTAGAGTTGACAGTGAGAAGCAAATTCAGAGAGAAAACAGAAGCAGGGGGAGATTTGTCCAACAAGAACGATTCAAACTTTTGTTCAAGACAAGATCAGCCAAAAGAAAAAAATCTGACACCGATGAAAGTCCAGCTCTGTTACTTTGGTTTTATCGTTTTTAAAATCTTTATGTAAAAATCTGAATTTTATGGTGTATCAGCACTTTTCTGAAGCCCTGCTGAGATTCGACTGAAATTTTTACCTCTCAAAGATGTGATATTTTTGGTTTAGCAAAGTGAAAATATTCTGAACATCCTTTATTTCCCATCCGTCTTGAAATTGCTGACATTTTCTGGAAATTTGCTCTGCATCTACAATCAGTGAAAAAATATCTGTTTGTTTTCACAATTTAATGTGTTTTTGAATTCACTTTTCCAAACTTACTTCCTGTTTGGTTCAGCTCTTTGGAGCGTCACTTTTCTTTGATTCATACTTTCCAAACCTTTCCTCTGAACTCTACAGATTTAAGACATCAGATTTCAAAATGGATCATTGTTTATCTAAAATCTCATTGTTTCCTCTTTATTTAGGTTGAGTTACTGCAGTTTGACAAAGATCAGTGTTTCTTCTCTGGCCTCAGCTCTGAAGTCCAACCCCTCCCATCTGAAAAATTTGTGGCTGTTTGGCAACAATCAGCAGGATTCAGACATGAAGCCACTGTGTGATCTTCAGAAGAGTCCAGACTACAGACTGGAGGATCTGGGGTCAGTATAGAGTTGAAGATAGTCTGTGCTGGTCTCTCCTGATACACTCCACACAATATCATGGCAGATATTCAGTATTTCCTGCTGACTCTTTGACCCTCTCAGAGGATTATTACCTCCGCCAAGGAGGTTATGTTTTTGGTAGCGTTTGTTTGTTTGTTTGTTTGTTTGTCTGTGAGCAACTTTACGGAGAAGGTTACAAACGGATTGACCTGAAATTTTCACCAGAGGTGCGTCTCAGCCCCAGGAGGATCCCATTACATTTTGGTGGTGATCCGGATCGCCTTTTGGATCCAGGAATTTTTTGAAGGATTCTATATCATTGTGAGATAGGGAAAATTTTAGAATTTTTGCATTTAACTCTATAAAAATGGCCAGTCTTCAGTAAAAAATTACACAAAAGGATCCTATTGAGTCTTTTGGGGTGTCAAAGGTTGATCCTGATCCAGACAAAATTCCAGATACTGTGATCCAGAACACACAAAAGTAAGGGTGTCATCGGAATTTTCAATGCTGAAAGATAACCAATGGGCGGCACAGTGGTGTAGAATGGTGGCACAGTGGTGTAGTGGTTAGCACTGTCGCCTCACAGCCAGAAGGTCCTGGGTTCGAATTCTGGTCAGGGCATTTCTTGTTTTAGGAACATTATGAACAGTGAACATACCAGTTTAAACACAAATAAAAGTGAACAAAAGACACATAACAGTAAAAGTTTTGGTGTGAATCACAATATAAGGGGGGACATGAGCTGCTTGGCGGAGGTCTGTGCTCTCCGAGTGCTTTTTTAGTTTCTTTAGTGAAGCTGTGAGAACAGAAATCATTAAATGAGGCATGTAAGAGTGTTCTCTCGTAGCTACTGTTCAGATCAAATGTAGAAATGAGACAAATAAAATAGAGATATTCAGTTTCTGCTCTGAAGTCCATTTTTTAGTTCTCTGTATTCAACACAGACTTTATTTTTCTGCTAACTTGTTGATTTTGACCTCTAAGGTTGATAACAGACAGCTGTTCTCTATACTTTATACTATTTTCACAGCAGGTTTGTTACATCAGCTTTAACACATTTGACAGGAATGATTTCTTTATTTTGATGATGTTGGTTTATCTTTGAGGAAACCTGCTGCTTTACACCATCACTTCTGGTCTGAGCAGGACTGAAACCTGCTGCTCTTTAAACTCCATGTTCTTCAGTCCTGCTGATGAAGTGAGTCTCAGAGTGGAAACACTGATTGTCCTTTTTTCTCTCCTCAGATGGAGGTTGTAGCTGTCAGAGTGATTAAAAAGAGGATCATCTGTGTCCTAACGATCAGAGAGGTGGAGGCAGCAGCAGTGAGGAAGACTGACTGACCAATCACAGCAGGTGGAGAGGACTCTGGGAGCTGCACTTTGACCTGCTCTGAAATCAGCTCAGGACGTGGACTGTGAATATTTGATATTTTCCCTCACATTCTCATTGTGCAATACAAGAAATTTAAAATGAAATTAAACAAACAAAACCAGTGAGAATATTCAAAACAACAATAACAATAATCAAAGCAAAAAAGTAAAAATAAAAATAAAAAATACTACTAATAATAATGCAAACTCTGCACATTAGTGTAAATATGGTAGAATCAGTGAACAGTAGAGAATATGTAGTGATTTGTGGTCCAGAATGTGTTCTCTTTTGCTCCAGACTGAAAAGTTTCTTGACAGTTTACTTTGCAGATGTTTTATGTGAGACTTTCAGTTTTTTTTTATCATCAATTATCACCCTAAGAAACTTGTTTTCATATACTCTTTCATAATCCACCCTGTCTACTTGTATCTGTACTTGTGTATTTTTATTATAATTACCCAAAAACATGAATTTGTTTTTACTTAAATTTAGTGATAATTTGTTTCTGTCAAACCACATTTCAGTAGTGATCCTCCCCAGTAGTTCATGTGGATCCCTCCCAGAACATTCTGGGATCAAACAGTCTGAACAGGTTTGTTTTGTTTTGTTTATAGGAACATAATCATAAATTTACACAGACAAGACTCTGTAGTGGAAGTCATCACATCCCTTCTAAAACCACAGTCAGTGAACACGGTTTGTCTCTTTATTAAATCAGATATAGGATTCAAAGAGATTTATCAACATTTTACACAGCGTCCAAACTCTTCAGGGATTGAGGTTGTATTCATTAAAGAGACTTTTCATACAAAGTTTGGAAACTTATTTATTTATTTTACAGAATCTCTGTTAAACAGATTAATATGGCTCACTTTTAAAAAAAATATTTTATCATCTTGTGTTTCTGTTATATCTTGGTTTATAGCTATTAATTGCTATTAAGGAACTTTTTAATATGTCCTGTTTGAGTGACTTCATAAAAATCTGTAGACACAGTGTATACACAAATGTATAAATACGTTTTTTTTCATTACTCATGTATGATTTATCTGCATTTGATTGTGAATGTATAGTTTGTGCCACTTTTTGTGAAATGTTTGAGTTTATTGGATCAAAAGTTTGAGTCAAAAGAAGCAGATATATAAAACACTGTATCTGTGCTTCATCAGCAGTTTTTAACTTGTGATTTAAAGTGTTTTCATTTATAGTCTAAACCGTCAAATCTAGATTATTGGAGATTAAGTGGTTGTCCTGTCATTCCATTTTAAATCAAACTTTAACTTTATTATCTCCACATTTTTTTTGCTTTTTTTGTACTTAAACATGATTCAATCATAATGTGCCAATAAAATCTTAACTGTGAATGAATTTAAATAACAAGGAATCACTGTGTCCTGTATTACACTCTCATTCCCAGGGGCGGGGCTTGCCAACAGGCAACCCAGGCAATTGCCTGGGGCCCCGGCTTCCAGGGGGCCCCCACTTGGGCATCCTCCCAAGTGACTTGGTGCCCCAAGTGCTAATAAATGTACTGCACGGCAACGACAACAACGGGTATTTACTATGAAAAAGTGACGTAGCAAACTGCCTTGGGGGCCCCCATGCCCCTTCTGCCTTCATGGGATGGGGTGGGGGCCACACAAATTTCTTGCGTGGAGCCCCAAAGGACCCTTGCCCTGCCTCTGCTCATTCCTATGCACTGGTGGATTTAAAGAGTCCAGTTCACAACATCAGGTCAGTAGCGCCACCTAGTGGTCAGCTACAACACTGAGTGTAACTGTTGGTGAGGACCTGGATGGTGAGTGTTGCTCAGGTAGTGTCAGTAGAAGATCAGTGCAGCAGTTCTCCCTCAACTCCCTTAAATCCTAACCTACAGCAGAATACAGTTGAGTAGGGAGATGGTATATATGAGCTTGTGGATATATATGTGTGTCTGAAATAAACTATAGGAAAAATCAGATACACTGCCTTCTAATGAATGAACTGCCATCAATCATAGATGCCATGTCACTCTGTAAGCATATCACACACTAGCCATACAACTCAAATCAAACTCTACCCTAATAAACTTAACACACAATTAGGGGTGTGGGTGTATTGCTGCTGTTTGTCATTAGATCTAGGCCTGCCTCAGCCTCACCTGGTTGTCTGTAGCTAGTCCGAGTGAAAGTTATGGGGAGATGGCATCTCTTGTATGCTTTTTTATTAGGCTTTTAACACCCTATAGAAATCAGTGGCCATGAGACAGACAACAAATCTTGTTACTTCACACCAGTGTTTTGAGCAATAACAGCAGGACCAAATGTATTTCCATGAAGGCTTCTCAGTGTTGTAGGTTTCAAAAAAGTTATGTAACTCTGATCTTGCTGATCAGCTTGCTCAGAGTAGGACAAGTTCTTTTGTCTCCTTTAATTTCACCTCCTGAGACTAAAACAAACGCCAAATTTTTGTTATGTCATTAAAAGTCCCCAAGTAGCTGTTAAGTAAACACATCTGCCAGCAACAGTGCTTTGAAATAAGATTACCATTGGCAACGTATGAGTAAAAAGCTGCAGGTCAAGGTTATGATTTTCAATGAAAACTTACAAGAAATCCAAACAAACGTGTCAGAAACATTTATGTTGGCAAGAGTATAAATGAGGACCATCAAGAACTGTCACGCCCTCTACTTCTAGGGCCAGATAGGGGCAGCCTCTCTTTTCTCTTCTCCCTCTTTTCTCTTCTCCCCCCTCCCTCTTCTCCTCCTCTCCCTCTCTCTAAGCAGGTGTTGGTGTGATGCAGCTTCAGGGCGGACAGGTGCAGCCACTTTCTAATCAGCGGATCGATCCGTGTGGCGGGGAGAGGAGCGCTCTCATTCATTCACCCGCTGCCATAAGAACCGGACGCTTCCCACAACCCGACGCTGGACCGTGACCTGAAGATCCCTTGCCCACTCCGCCTGCTCTTCCCGCCTGCGTACCCAGCTCTCCTGCTCTTCATCCCAGCTCCGTCCAGGACGCCGCCTCACGCCATCACCACCTGCCTCTCCCCCTCCAGTCGGAAATCACGGACTGCCTGCTCACTCGCTCTCTCGCTAGCTCTGGTAGTACCCGACCCTGTCTCGCGTTTTGCAGACAGCGCTTTTTGTTAATTGTTCTGACCCTGTCTCGCGTTTTGCAGACAGCGTTTTTTGTTAATTGTTCTGACCCTGTCTCGCGTTTTTGCAGACAGCGCTTTTTGTTAATTATTACTGTTCCAGTCTCGCGTTTTGCAGACAGCGCTTTTTGTTAATTATTACTGTTCCAGTCTCGCGTTTTTACAGACAGCGCTTTTTGTTAATTATTACTGATCCTGTCTCGCGTTTTTCAGACAGCGCTTTTTGTTAATTGTTACTGCCCACCTTAGTTCCGTTTTCCTATTTCTGTTTGCATTTTTGGGACCAAATAAATATCTGTTTAATTGAACTGCTCTGACTTGAGTCTCTTTGTCCGCATTTGAGCCTCGGTGCCTGAACCGTGACAAGAACAACTCACTGAAAATTTGTGTGTGTTTGAAATATAACTCAAATAAGAAAAAGAAATACTGAAAAAATGTCTTTTTGTTTGGTAGATTTATTTTATAAGTACCAAATAATTTAGTCAGATTTGCTAAATTGCAAATTATAATGTTTGAATGTTTACAGTCATAAGGTAAATTCTTACGACAAGAGAGGGCTTCCTTTGTATAATAATTTAACCTGTTTATTAATATATTGGCACATGTTGATGAGGTCATCATTAGTTTCAGCAGTGCACAGGCTGCCTTGCTGGTCCTGATCCAACAGGTATAAAATTTGTACTTTAAGAAAGTTGAAGCTTTTTTTATTGTCTTTACTTTGGGTGTCAGTGACATTCATCATGATTCAGTTTTAGCCTACATAAACGAGGGAACATGGCCTTTGCAAACATTGGGAATATAAATAAAATAAAAACCATTTTAACTCAACAGTTCAACAAAAGTAGATAAATACTAAATAATACAGTGAACTAGTTTGAGTGTCTGAGTGTTTTTGCAAGAATGTAAGACCCAAAATAAAGTAATTGACCCCTCGGGGATAATGAATATGTCTTAAAATGTAAACATAAGAGGATGTAAATGTAGATGAATGTGTAAATAATTTAGGCCCCTACATCAAGTTATGGGGAATCTAGAGCAGTAGTTTAACATAGTAGAACAGGCGTCCTAACTTAATGTAGGGGCCTAAATTATTTACACATTCATCTACATTTACATCCTCCTATGTTTACATTTTAAGATGTATTCATTATCCCTGAGGGGTCAATTTGTTTATTTTGGGTCTTACATTCTTGCAAAAACACTCAGACACTCAAACTAGTTCACTGTATTATTTAGTATTTATCTACTTTTGTTGTACTGTTGAGTGAAATTGGTTTTTATATTTTTCTAAGTTTATCTTTTTCAATTTGCTTTGTTATTTATTTTGTATGTTAATAAAATGTTGAACTAATCTCTAGTTTCTTTAGTTTTTAATACAGATGCTTTAAACTGGCAGTTTAAAAAAAACGTGATAATAATCGAGATCGCACAATATGACAAAGTATATCGTGATCATTTTTATTGGCCAAATTGCCCAGTCTTAGTGACAACACAATCACACTGTGTGCAAAAATAAAAACCTGTTCAACAAAATATTCACATTTAGCTGGGGTATGAAGAGCGCTCATCTGGTAGTTTGTTGGTTTAACCAGCGGGTAGTGCTGCATTAACAATACACTGAGACCTTATAACCAATAAACTTAAAAGATGATCTCAAACTTCCATTAAATGACAGGAGGAGAAGAATCTGTGATCTGGTGTTTTAGGTTTTGGTGAAAACAGTCAGAGTAAAAGTGAAAGTAAGTGAGCTCAAAAACAGACTGTATTTTGAGATAAGAACAGAGCAGAGAGGAGAGGACGAGGAGACAGGGTGAGTGTTTACTCTGGGTTTTTGTTTTAATGTCAAACTCTTTATCTGTATCATCCGTTAATGAAAAATGATTTACTGACTAATACACTTAAAAACTGCAAAGCAAAGAAACCTGACCTGACAAAGAGATGGATCAGTTCTGGATTCAAGAGAACTGGATAGGTGCAATTCTTCCTCTGTTTTTAGACTTGTCTTTTTAGTAAAAACTAAAATATGTTTTTTGTTTAGCCTCTCATTTCAAATTTGATCATTTAATCCAGTCCCCTTAATTTTTTATGGGAGTTCAGGGACCTCAGAGCTGCTTTTTTTTTGACCGTGAATCAGATTATGATCAGAGAGAGGCCCTGCAGGGTGAGGAAACATCCCATGTGTTTGGATACAGATTAGACCCTGTATAAGTCTTAAAGAGAGATATTAAGCTTTTTCAAGACTCTACACTAACTTTCTGTTTCCTCTTCAATATTTTTACATGATTTTCAGTTTAAAAGAAAAACCTCCTGTTTCTCACTTTGGTGTATTAAAAGATCATTATTTCTGCCTCCTCCTAGCTACTGTCCTTTAAAGGCCCCCCACTCCCAGCCTACTTTTATTTCTGATCTCCCCTGTTTGTATCTCAACTGTTTGTCTATTTCGTCCTCAGGTTGTATGACTCGGTTTCATCTTCCATAAATTTGCTCAACATCAGATGGAGAAGATGAGTGATTGTGTCGAGGAAGAGGAGGGCAGAGCGAAGTCTGTCATGTCTGACTGTCTGTCTTTGAAGAGTGACTGGTCTAAAGGTTCACCACTGGACTTCAGTAAAGAACCAGGACCCTCAGATGCAGAGTAAGAGAAACACTTTTTAACCTCCAAACTCTCAAACAGTCATTAATGATGCTCTAAATTCTGACCCCTCTGTTTTCTACCATGGAGCGAAAAATGATCTCTGCTCTCAAAATGGTGATTTTCCTGTTTAATATGCCAACCTGGAGAAAATGAAGAAAAAGTCACTGAGCACATATTCATTTATTATTCATAATGTTTATGAAAATGAAGGATGTATAAAACAGCATTTAAAAAGGATTCTGACCTCAGTTTTTTCTGATTTGGTTCCTGTTTTTGGAACGTTTTGAGCCTGTAAGTCTTTGGACTGTGGTGTGTAGACCCCAGAAAACAGTCTGTGGGTCACAAAATACCAGAAGACCAATGAAGAAATAATTCCTGAGAAATAAAAAACTAATTCAGAGCGTCTTTCTGTTATTCGACCTTTAGATCTGATTGGTCAAAAAAATGTTTTAAACTGTCAGAGAAAATCTCTCTACCTTCAAAATTCACAGTTTAGTTTTTCTCCTGTCACCACACTTTCAGGCAGCAGCAGCTGAATATTTTACAGGAGATTGTTTTATGTTTGAGGAAAGAGTGAGGTCAGAAACTCTGGTTTAATAAATGCTTCTTATTCTGTATCTTCCAAATGATAATGATAAAGAAAATAAATGTTCTTTATTTCCATAGAGAGACAGAGAGATTTGACTCTGTGGAGGAGCAGCTGTCCAGATATCTCAACTCTAAAAGAAGTAAGTCTGAACATCTGTTCTCTAAAGTCTCTGTCGATGAAAACACAGCTGACTGATTGATCACAAAGATGTTTTAGTGTTGAGCAGTTTGGTTCATTTTATTTTTCTTCTCTTTTAGCAGATCGCAGTCTGCAGGAGGTTTTAGATGAACATAAGATCAGTCTGAAGAGGAGATGTGAACGTGTGAATGAAGGAAGTGATGAAAGGGGGAGGCAAACCCTCCTCAACATGATCTTCACTGACCTCTACATCACAGAAGGACTGAGTGAAGAGGTGAACACCCAACATGAGTCGAGACAGCTGGAGACAGCTTCAAAGATGAAGACCCTCAGTGACACGCCCATCAAGTGCCATGAAATCTTCAGAGTCTTACCAGGTCAACAGGAAGTCCTCAGAGTGGTTCTGACCAACGGCGTCGCTGGTGTTGGAAAAACCTTCTCAGTGCAGAAGTTCACTCTAGACTGGGCAGAGGGTTTGGAGAACCAAGACCTCAATCTGGTGGTCCTGCTTTCATTCAGGGAACTGAACCTGATCAGAGATGAGCCCTACAGTCTTCTGAGTCTGCTCCATGTTTTCCATCCAACACTAGAGAAGGTCACAGCAGAGACGCTGGCTGTCTGTAAACTTCTGTTCATCTTTGACGGTCTGGATGAAAGCAGACTGTCTCTGGATTTCACAGACTCTGAGGTCGTTTCTGACGTCACACAGAAGTCATCAATAAACGTTCTGTTAACAAACCTCATCAAGGGAAATCTGCTTCCCTCAGCTCTCATCTGGATAACTTCTCGACCTGCAGCAGCCAATCAGATCCCTCCTTCATGTGTGGACAGGGTAACAGAAGTACGAGGCTTCACTGACGCCCAGAAGGAGGAGTACTTCAGGAAGAGGTTCAGAGATGAAGATCTGTCCAGAAGAATCATCTCACACATCAAGTCCTCCAGGAGCCTCCACATCATGTGTCAGATCCCGGTCTTCTGCTGGATCACTGCAACAGTTCTGGAGGACATGATGAGCAGAGAGCAGAGAGGAGAGCTGCCCAAGACCCTGACTGACATGTACTCACACTTCCTGCTGGTCCAGACTAAGAAGAAGAAGCAGAAGTATGAAGGGGGACATGAGACAAGTTCTCAGGAGCTGACTGAGACTGACAGTGAAGTCCTCCTGAAGCTGGGGAGACTGGCCTTTGAACATCTGGAAAAAGGAAACATCATGTTCTACCAAGAAGACCTGGAGCGGTGTGGTCTGGATGTCTTAGAGGCTTCTGTGTACTCAGGAGTTTGTACAGAGATCTTCAGAAGAGAGAGTGTGATCTTCCAGAAAACAGTTTACTGTTTCGTTCATCTGAGCGTTCAGGAGTTCCTGGCTGCAGTCTACATGATCCACAGTTTCACAAACAAGAACACAGAAATTCTGGAGACTTTCCAGAAAGACAACAAACAAAAAGATAATCCGGATAACAGTTTCCTATCTCTGGATGACTTCCTGAAGCTTGTCATTGAGAAATCTCTTCTCAGTAAAAATGGTCACCTGGACCTGTTTGTTCGCTTCCTTCATGGACTTTCTCTGGAGTCAAACCAGAGAGTCTCAGGAGGTCTGCTGGGTCACACAGACCACAGTTCAGAAATGATCCAAAGAGTCATCGACAACCTGAAGGAGATGAACAGTTATTATATCTCTCCTGACAGAAGCATCAATATTTTCTACTGTCTGATGGAGATGAACGATCTGTCAGTTTATCAGGAGATTCAAGAGTTCCTGAAGTCAAAGGACAGATCAGAGAAGGAACTCTCAGAGATCCACTGCTCTGCTCTGGCCTACATGCTGCAGATGTCAGAGGAGGTTCTGGATGAGTTGAACTTATATGATTATAACACATCAGAGCAGGGACGACTGAGACTGATCCCAGCTGTGAGAAACTGCAGAAAGGCTAAGTAAGTCCGGGTTTTATTCTCAGAATAGTGTAAATGAGCTCTGTAGCTCTTCCAATGTCCATGTTACTGATGATGTTCTTCTTCAAATAGAAATCTACTGAAATATCAGGGAGGCGGGTTCTTTAGGTTTAGCAAAAACATGATCCTGGTGTCAAAAGTCCTATCAGCACAGGATGAGGTCTACCTGTGGACCCCTGAGAACTTGTCCTAATTGTGGAGGACCTCTTTGTTTTGCATCAAGTTGAATAGACGGTGTCTGTAAAGAATAAAGTAGAAATTTTAGGACAAATCAGCGACCAAATCTAAGGACACACAGAGGTCTTCCGATGATGATATCAGTCCAGTCCAAATCAACATCTCAGTCAATTGTGGTGAACTTGAGTTTGAAGAAGGTGGCTGCAGCTTTTTCCTGCTGGTTTTCTGGTTAGAAATGATGAATCTGTCGTAAATGAGGGTGTTGACAGCTTTTATAGTGAAAATAGAGCTGGATCATTTTCTACCCAGTGGCAGAACTGTCTCTGTATCATAATGTCAACCATTCAATATTCCTAATCAATACAACAATGAAAACTAACATCATATTCCACCACTCACTGGATAGTATATGGTGGACTATAACACATAAATGACGACAACACACGAGTTATTTGGACAGCAGCTCCATGTGTGAAAACAATGGTGGAAACAGGATGTTTGTGTCTCTCTCTGTCTTTGCCCTCAATGCTGCAGGTTGGCACTGACACTACTCTGCCTCATAACGCTTCATGGCATTTGGAAACAGCTGTGCTTGTCCACTTCATATATGGACACCATAAGGATAAGCAGTTTGATTGCATCATCATCAGCAGCAGCAGCAACTTTCCATGGTGTCCCTTTGTCAGAGTCGGCCCAAAGCATAAGCGAACTGAGTGCCTGCTTAGGGCCCTGTGGCCAAAAGGGGCCCCCCAAGAGCAATCAAAATAAATAAAATAAAATGAAATATTTTATTTTTTGCATGTATGAGTGATGCCTTCTGTATGATCAAATATATATTATAGTAAAAATAAAATAAAGTAAAAACATTTTAGTGCTGCTGCTGATATAGGCCTATGATTCTTACTGCACATATGTCAAAGCTCCAATAGCTTTATGTGACTTCTGCTGTGCAACGTGCACTGAGCATCCAAAGCACAGGTAGTTGTGGGGCAAAACAATGTCACAAAAAAGGACATATCCTTCAGGAGCAGAGAAAAGAAAGAGGAAAAAAGAGAAAAAATGCCAAGATAAATGTATGTTTGCATGTCATGGAATGTTAATCAAAGAGATTTGTGGAGGTGTGTGAATGATCAACAATCAATAGAGGGAAAGAGAGGGCCCCAAAATCAAAATTTGCTTAGGGCCCCATTGAGGCTTAGGCTGGCTCTGCCCTTTGTTGTCATAGTGATACAGAGTGAAGATGATTCCTTCAATGTTAAGGTGTTTGTGGGCTGTAGCGGTCACATTTCTCCCACTTGACTGGATGCCTCTGTTTAAGATGTTGATGTAAATTGGTCAGACTGCTGCCTTCTGCTGAAACAGCCTTTGAACAAACACTGCAGCAGACTGGGGTTTGATCCAGGTCTGAGGCTGTGAGACTAGACCGGTTCTAAAGGACTAACAAGACAGACTTTTTTATTGTTTAACTATCATGAAGCATTGAACAATACTGTGCTTAGAGAGAGAGAGAGAGAGAGAGAGAGAGAGAAGGGGGGGGGGGGGGGCGTCATTTGTCTTGAACATCTGAACAGTTTTTTTTTTCTTCTAAACTTTGACTTCCTGTCTTCTCTCACGGCTGTGGTCCTGATATTAGTAGCTGGCTGGTTAAAAACAGGCCGTCTGTCAAACCATAGATAATGTTTAAGTTGTTTTAGGTGAAGAGAATCATCAAATTACCCTTTAATGAAATATTGTTTGATATTTATTTTGTTACAGACTTTCATACTGTGGACTCTCAAAGACTCACTGTGAAGTTGTGGCCTCAGCTCTGAAGTCCAACCCCTCCCATCTGAGACATTTGGACCTGAGTTACAATTATCTGCAGGATTCAGGAGTGAAGCTTCTCTCTGTTGGACTGGAGAGTCCAAACTGCAGACTGGAGACTCTGAAGTCAGACACCATTTCCTTCTGATCTAACAATAAGATGTGACAGTTGTTGCCTTAGATTTTTCTCTGTGTTTTTTTCCATCAACTTTGGTCGTGCAGTTTGAATTTGTAGTTGTAAAATGTCAACATAGGAAGAAAAATCCAACATTTCAGAGTTGACTTGGAGTGGAACGATGGATATAGAAAGAAAGCAGAACAAAATCAGTCCCACAAATATTACACATGCTAGTAGAGGGCAGGAGCAGCACAGAATAAAGGCTGATATTGAACTGATCCACAATTAATTTGATCACTAATGAATGAATGAAGTATCAGAGAAATGATGAGCTGCAGATTGAAACCTGAGTTAATCCAACTCTGGATATTTCATTTGGAAAGTCTTGAAAACTTGAATCTCTTCTCTGCTCAGCCGTGTTCAAATGTAAAAACCAGATCCAGATTTTTCTGCAGTTTTCACTTCATTTTGTTGAACATTAACATCATCTTTTCCAGTTGGTCCATAAAAACCTCTCTGATAAATGATCTGTTGGTTTATTTACAAGTAGTTTGGCAGATGTTGACAGTATCTTAAATATTTCTTGACTGAAAAATTCCTCAGGATTTTCAAAAAGTTTAGAGAGGATATGACAAAGTTCCTCAAGATCAACTCTGAAAAGGTTCTTCTTCTATGTCCTTCAGGGGCTCAAGAACATTGAATCATTAAAATCAAGAACAGTTTCTTCAGAGGTTCAATGATTTTTCTCTTTCTTTAGACTGAAGGGCTGCAGTTTGTCAGAGATCAGCTGTTCTTCTCTGGTCTCAGCTCTGAAGTCCAACCCCTCCCATCTGAGACATCTGTGGCTGAGTCGAAACAATCTGCAGGATTCAGGAGTGAAGCTGCTGTGTGAATTTCTGCAGAGTCCAAACTGTAAACTGGAGACTCTGAGGTCAGAATTTTGTCCTCTTCTCAAACATTGGCATGATTTGTTTGTGATGATGACACTAAACTGCTGAATCAGGACTGAAATACTTGACCAAGACTGAACACCTAGTTGTAGATTTCCTGCATCGGTGGATTATTTGATTGACTCCAGTTATATCACTGCTAAGCTACAATGAATTAAAACCTGAACACAAGAAGAAAACTCTTTGTAAAGTTCACAGTGAGAAGCACATTCAGACAGAAAACAGAAGCAGGGGGAGATTTGTCCGACGAGAACGATTCAAACTTTTGTTCAAGACAAGATCAGCCAATAGAAAAAACTCAAAGTTTAGTTTCTGACACTGATGGAAGTCCAGCTCTGTTACATTGGATTTTTCTTTTTTAAAATCTTTATGTAAAAATCTGAATTTTATGGTGTATCAGCACTTTTCTGAAGCCCTGTTTCGACTGAAATATTTACCTCTAAAAGATGTGATATTTTTGGTTCAGCAAAGTGAAAATATTCTGAACATCCTTTATTTTCCATCCGTCTTGAAGTCGCTGACATTTTCCAGAAATTTGTTCTGCATCTACAATCAGTGAAAAAATATCTGAGTTTGTTTTCACAATTTAATGTGTTTTTGAATTCACTTTTCCAAACTTACTTCCTGTTTGGTTCAGCTCTTTGGAGCATCACTTTTCTTTGATTCATACTTTCCAAACCTTTCCTCTGAACTCTACAGATTTAAGACATAAGATTTCAAAATGGATCATTGTTTGTCTAAAATCTCATTGTTTCCTCTTTATTTAGGTTGAAATACTGCATTTTGACAAAGATCAGCTGTTCCTCTCTGGCCTCAGCTCTGATGTCCAACCCCTCCCATCTGAAAACTTTGCGGCTGTTTGGCAACAATCTGCAGGATTCAGACATGACGCCACTGCGTGAACTTCAGAAGAGTCCAGACTACAGACTGAAGGATCTGAGGTCAGTATAGAGTTGGAGTCAGTCTGTGCTGATCTCTCCTGTCACACTCCACACAGTATCATGGCAGATATTCAGTATTTCCTGCTGACTCTTTGACCCTCTCAGAGGATTATTTCTTTTGCAACGCTGTGAGAACAGAAACCATTAAACGAAGATTGTAAGAGTGTCCTTTTTTTCTTTATATTTCAGATCAAATGTAGAAACGAGACAAATAAAATAAAGATGTTCAGTTTCTGCTCTGAAGTCTCGGCTAACTTGTTGATTTGACCTCTAAGGTTGAAAACAGACAGCTGTTCTTTATACTTATTATTTTCACAGCAGGTTTGTTACATCAGCTTTAACACATTTGACAGGAAAGATTTCTTAATTTTGATGATGTTGGTTTATTTTTGAGGAAACCTGCTGCTTTACACCATCACTTCTGGTCTGAGCAGGACTGAAACCTGCTGCTCTTTAAACTCCATGTTCTTCAGTCCTGCTGATGAAGTGAGTCTCAGAGTGGAAACACTGATTGTCCTTTTTTCTCTCCTCAGATGGAGGTTGTAGCTGTCAGAGTGATTAAAAAGAGGATCATCTCTTTCCTAATGATCAGAGAGGTGGAGGCAGCAGCAGCAGTGAGGGAAACTGACTGACCAATCACAGCAGGTGGAGAGGACTCTGGGAGCTGCACTTTGACCTGCTGAGATCAGCTCAGGACCTGGACTGTGGATATTTGATATTTTCCGTCAAATTCACATTTCATTTATTTATTTTTTTCACATGTGCGTTCAACACAAGAAAGTTAACTGAAAACAAACAAACAAAACCAGTGAGAATATTCAAAACAAAAATAGCAATAATCAAAGCAAAAAGTAAAAATAAAGATAAAAAATACTACTAATAATAATGCAAACTCTGCACATTAGTGTAAATTTGGTAGAATTGGTGAACAGTAGAGAATATGTAGTGATTTTTGGCCCAGAATGTGTTTTCTTTTGCTCCAGACTGAAAAGTTTCTTGACAGTTTACTTTGCAGATGTTTTATGTGAGACTTTCAGTTTTTTATTAATCATCAATTTTCACCCTAAGAAACTTGTTTTCATATACTCTTTCATAATCCACCCTGTCTACCTGTATCTGTACTTGTGTATTTTTTATTATAATTGCCAAATAACATGAATTTGGTTTTGCCTAAGTTTAGTGATAATTTGTTTCTGTCAAACCACATTTCAGTAGTGATCCTCCCCAGTAGTTCATGTAGATCCCTCCCAGAACATTCTGGGATCAAACAGTCTGAACAGGTTTGTTTTGTTTTGTTTATAGAAACATAATCATAAATTTACACAGACAAGACTCTGTAGTGGATGTCACCACATCCCTTCTAAAACCACAGTCAGTGAACACGGTTTGTCTCTTTATTAAATCAGATATAGGATTCAAAGAGATTTATCAACATTTTACACAGCGTCTAAACTCTTCAGGGATTGAGGTTGTATTCATAAAAGATGCTTATCATACAAAGTTTGGAAAATCATTTATCTATTTTACAGAATCCTTGTTAAACAGATTTTTATACTTCACTTTTTTAAACTATTTTTTCATCTTGTGTTTCTGTTATATCTTGGTTTATTGCTCTTAATTGCTATTAAGGAACTTTTTAATATGTCCTGTTTGAGTGACTTCATAAAAATCTGTGGACACTGTTAGGGCTTGGTGACAGATAATAAAAAATTAGGAGTTTTTCTTTCATTACTCATGTATGATTTATCAGCATTTTGTTTTGAATGTATAGTTTGTGCCACTTTTTGTGAAATGTTTGAGTTTATTGGATCAAAAGTTTGAGTCAAAAGAAGCAGATATATAAAACACTGTATCTGTGCTTCATCAGCAGTTTTTAACTTGTGATTTAAAGTGTTTTCATTTATAGTCTAAACCGTCAAATCTAGATTATTGGAGATTAAGTGGTTGTCCTGTCATCACATTTTAAATCAAACTTTGACTTTATTATCTCCACATTTTTTTTGCTTTTTTTGTACTTAAACACAATTTAATCATAATTTGCCATTAAAATCTTAACTATGAATGAATTTAAACAACCAGGAATCACTTTGTCCTGTATTACACTTGCATTCCTCTGCACTGCTGGATTTAAAGAGCAGTCAAGTTCACAACATCAAGTCAGTAATGCCACCTAGTGGTCAGCTACAACACTGAGTGTAACTGTTGGTGAGGACCTGGATGGTTTGTGTTGCTCAGGTAGTATCAGAAGAAGATCAGTGCAGCAGTTCTCCTTTAACTCCCTTTAATCCCAACCTGTAGCAGAATACAGTTGAGTAGGGAGATGGCATATATGAGCTTGTGGATATATATATATATATGTGTGTGTCTGAAATAAACTATAGGAGAAATCAGACACACTGCTTCCTAATGAATGAACTGCCATCAATCATAGATGCTACATCACTCTGTAAGCATATCACACACTAGCCATACAACTCAAATCAAACCCTACCCTAATAAACTTAACACACAATTAGGAGTGTGGGTGTATTGCTGCTGTTTGTCATCAGATCCAGGCCTGCCTCAGCCTCACCTGGTTGTCTGTAGCTAGCCTGAGTGAAAGTTATGGGGAGATGGCATCTCTTTTATGCTTTTTTATTAGGCTTTTTTTTAAACACCCTATAGAAACCAGTGGCCTGGGTGATATTACTGTTGTCTTCACCTACTCTGGGGCTGAAGTCCCCTCCCCAGTTTGTTGGCATGAGAGAGACAGGTGTGTCAAAATAGTTGTGTAACTCTGATCTTGCTGATAGCTTGCTCAGAGTAGGTTAAGTTCTTTTGTCTCCTTTAATTTCACCTCCTGAGACTAAAACAAACGCCAAATTTTTGTTATGTCAGTAAAAGTCCCCAAGTAGCTGTTAAGTAAACACATCTGCCAGCAACAGTGCTTTGAAATAAGATTTTCATTGGCAACGTATGAGTAAAAAGCTGCCGGTCAAGGTTATGATTTTTAATGAAAACTTACAAGAAATCCAAACAAACGTGTCAGAAACATTTATGTTGGCAAGAGTATAAATGAGGACCATCAAGAACAATTCACTGAAAATGTAAGGTGTGTTTGAAATATAACTCAAATAAGAAAAAGAAATACTGGAAAAATGTCTTTTTGTTTGGTAAATGTATTTTATAAGTACCAAATAATTTGGTTGGATTTTACAATCCCTAATTCCAATGAAGTTGTGACATTCTGTAAAACATAAATAAAACTGAATAGATGATTTACAAATCCTTTTGCACCTATATTCAATTCAATAATAATGTGTAATGTTCAAACTGAACTTTATTATTGTTATTATATATATACATATTTTTTTTTAATATTCACTTAGTTTGAGTTTGATGCCTTCAGCATGTTCCAAACAATCTGGTACAGAGGCATGTTTACCACTGTGTTACACCATATTTTTTTTCAAACAACATTCAATACATGTTTTAAACTGAGGACAGTAATTGTTGAAGCTTTGGAGGTGGACTTCTTTCCCCTTTTTGCCTGATGAACCACTTCAGTTTCTCAACAGTCCAGGGTACCTCAGACTGTTCTCTGTGAAAATGGTAGATCTGGAGTCTGTCGTACACTTGAGTCACCTTCCTCTACAGTCTTCAGGGTCATTAAGAAAAATGAGGAGGACACAAATGTTGATTTAGAACATGTGGAGCAATCAAAGGATGATGTTCTTGTGAAGTTTTCCACTGAGAAATGACCCCAGCAGGTTGAGAAGAAAATCAAACAACAGCACCAATCCTCAGAAAAGTGAGAGAAGCTCTCAAAGGTATAAGTTGTTTTTATTTCAAAAGGTGAAAGGACCAAAATGAAGGTTTAAAGAGGGGCTGTCTAAAGACTGGATGAGTCAACAATAACAACCTCCCTCTTTTTGTTACAAAGCAGCAAACTCTGGATGATGAAAGCTTGGAAACAATTGTTTGTGAGGTCAAGGGCACTTAAATTTTTCTATGAAGAAAACTTCTGTTGACCCAGAACACTAAGTGGAAGATCACTTGAAAGCAGCAGAAGAGGAGAACTGTATGCTGAATCAGTGCATATTGACCACATTTCTAACCCTGTTACAACTCAATAGATGAAAGAAACCCTGATGCAAGAAGTAAAGACATAAAAGACACCAGGAGAAACTCCAGTGCAAGAGAAATCATCTAGTAGTGGTGAACCAAAACACCCCTTGGAGCTTCCGGGCTCTGTTTAGAGTCATTGGAGCAAAGAGTGACTCACTGAGAGTGTGTTTCTAAACACAAAGACCAGCTCTGTAGAGGAGAAAATCAACAAATTCTCTGTCCGAATTGAAGCCTCAGACTGAATCAATCAAGATTTCAAGAGCACTGGAATATAATACAAAGCCATTGAAATCCTGGAAACTAAAAGAAAAGAGAAAAGGTTGAGATTTCTTTAAGAGGACTCATATTGATTGAATTTTATGTTATGAACAAAGGGGTCAAAATGGTTATGACATTGAAGTGTCAGAAAGCTCAATTTTATCTTTAAAATATAAGAAACTTCTCCTCCAAGTCATTTTCCAGTTCAAAGATGTCAATTCAACACATTTTTTACACACACACACACACACACACACACACACACACACACACACACACACACACACACACACACACACACACACACACACACACACACACACACACACAAAAAAAAAAAAAAAAAATAAAACTGCACTTTCTAGGATGTGATGCCAACAAAAAGGTCCATAGGTATCATGAAAAGGGCAGTTTTGATATTTCATCAGGGTAGAAGAAGACAGGAGACTGCTCATGATCAGGTATTCAGGCTGCAGAACTACATCCATAAAATAAGAGACACTTTTTGTCAATTAGCAATGAATCACAATCAGATATTTGTTGACAAATTTAAAGCTACTGTGAGGAATTTTTTTATGACAAAACCCTATAAAGTATCACCTACAAAAGTGAATTATGTATAAAACTGAATTATGAGATACATGATACTTTGAAAGATGCAGTTTTTGTTAGAAAAAAACATTGATCCTGTAGCGAAAGATCATTTACATTTGAGGTTGCAAATTACTTAAATAATTATTTCCTTAGTAAAGTGAATACATTAAGAAATCAAATGTTGCCTGAGAGTGGCAGGCTATCCAGAGATATAATAGAGCAACATATTATGAGTGGAAAGGATTGTGTGTTTGAATTCAAGCCAATCATTGTTGATTCTGTGGTGAAGCAACTTAATACAATTAAGTGTGATAAACCTTGTGGGTTTGATAATATTGATGGAAGACTACTTAAGCTATCAGCTAAATCGATTGCTAAGCCTATAGGCCATAATTTCAATTTATGTTTTAAAGAATGTGCTTATCTGGATTTGTGGAAAATTGCAAAAATTACTCCTCTGCCAAAAAACAGTAGGGAGTCATTTACAGGTCAAAACAGCAGACTTATAAGCATTTTAACTGTTTTAAGTAAGACTCTTGAGGGTATTATGTTCAAGCAGATCCAGCAACATCTTGCAGAAAACAATATTAACTCAGATCAACCGCATGCATATAAAGAAGGTTACTCTACGAGCACTGCACTGACATGTCTTACTGACGAGTGGTTCAAACAGATTGACATGAAATCAGTTGGGGTTTTATACTTGGATTTCAGCGTGGCCTTTGACCTTTTAGACTAATGGGGGTCCTTAATAAACTAACTAACTAACTAACTAACTAACTAACTAACTAACTAACTAACTTACTAACCAACTAACTAACTAACTAACTAACTAACTAACTAACTAACTAACTAACTAACTAACTAACTAACACTGAAACGCTCAACCTGAGGGATATCACTCTGCGTCTCGAAAACAAATCATTGACTGTCTTATAAATCAAATCTCTTTAGTTTCATTGATGTCTTCATTGTTTATTGTTCTTTGCGCTGATATAGACAGCAGGAATCTTGGTAAAACTTTCTCATTGAACTCACAGACTGTTCTAATCCATTTTACTCAGTTCCTGTTAAGTGAAAGTTAAAGTCAATCATTTGTTTCTGTTTAAGCCAAACTTTAGAAAACACAAACCTTGCAATGACAGAAAAAGACTTTTATTGGTTATTTCATGGTTTTGTGAAAGAAAACTCTAAAAAGCACACGATTTTGAGGCAAATTTATTTAACCTTTGCTCTTTGTCAAGTAGGGGAAATCACACAACAAAAAGGATTTCAAAATGGAATGTCATTAAAAACTTTTAGGATACATAAAATCCCCCAAATATGACCAATTCTCCATCATTTGAGTAATAAGAGGTTTAAATGTTGTAAAACATTGTGAATTAGTTTATCAGTTGTGTAAGAAGTGTCTATAATGTGTTGTTTCTTTTATATAATTGCTCTCTTTCAGCCTTGTGCATTTGCCTCTTAAAACCTTTAATTAAAAAAAAAAAAATTATTATAACATTTGTTACAACTTCAAGGGGGAATCTTTTCTTCACAACTGATCTGTTTTGGTTATATTAAGGCCAAGAGTTATGAATAATGTAAAATTTGATGCCTTGCTTAGCTGACAGATGGGCGTGTTGCAGCAGTTTAAAAACGTATATAAAAAAGCCTTGCCTTCAACTCCGCTTCTTTAGTTCAAGATGGTTGGAGCTAAAGTTTTCAACCAGCATCTTTAAGGCTTCAAAGTGTCTCCTAAGAAACCAGCTGGTGAAGCCACTGAGAACATACTCATGTTATCTTCAATCTATGGACAAGATGTTAAATAAATTGTTTGCACTAAAATTCAGAACATGCAGAAGTTATGATTTCAATAAAAAAAGATGTATGTAGTGTGATGGAGAAAAAATGGTTGTCTTAAATTTAAACAATAGGAAATGCTCACTGAAGTCGGTGACAGCTGATGAAGTTATGAAGCAATGAAGTCAGTTTTTAGCTGGTTAGCTAACTGGGTGATACTCATGAGTGTGTAGACACCGTTATGGGTGACTTTATGGCTGTCTTGACGGTGGCCCTGAGGATCAGTGGCAGGAATATATCAGAAAGGCAAAAAATGAATATTTAAAAAAAC